TGGCTTTTTGGGAGGTTGCCCACCCTGGGAGGGTGAAATTAGGGAGGAGGTGGTGACGCATCCCGGTGCACACCTGGGAGCAGGGCACCAGAGCAGTCGGCACAGTCTGGGGGTGAGCACTGCCCCCCCACCCCCCACCAGCATGGGGGTGCCTGGGGACCCAGAACTCTGTTCTCACCCGCTTGTGCTGTTGGTGCCACCAGGCTCGCTGGCATCCCCCATGGCGTGTCCCCTGGAGCAGGCGCTGGCCGTGATTGTCTCCACCTTCCACAAGTACTCGGGGAAGGAGGGGGACAAGTACAAGCTCAGCAAGCAGGAGCTCAAGGAGATGCTCGTGAAGGAGCTGCCCAGCTTTAGCGTAAGTGTGGGGCAGGGGGTGCCATGTCCCACAGGCGGCGCTGGGGCTCGGGCACGTGGCCTTTGATGCGGAACCCCATTTTAACCCCCCCCTCTTGCTCCTGGTGCAGAGTCAAACTAGCGAGGCCAGCTTACAGCAGCTCATGAGCCACCTGGACAGCAACAGTGACAGTGAGGTGGACTTCCAAGAGTACGTGACCTTCCTGGCCTGCATGGCCATGATGTGCAACGACTTCTTCCAGGATTGCCCCGACAAGATGCCGCGCAAGAAGTGAGCACGGGGCACCAGCCCCGGGCCCCATCGCTGCCCCCACGACCCTCCCGCTGCCCTCCTGACGCTCTTTCAATAAAAGGTTCCTTTAAACCAAGTCCTCGGCTTGCTTTGCAATGGGGGTTTCTTGCCCCAAAGGGACAGGGGTGCTGGCACACCGGGGGAGCCCCCCGTCCCCCTTCCACATGCGCGTTGCAGGTACCGGATGGCGAGTGAGACCCAGGGTGCTTCCGAGCTGGAGTTTGCTCTGTCGCAGCGTGGGCACCGCGTTCCCTGAGCTCTCATAAACCGCCCGCGGGACTGATCCCCGCCAGCCACGTTGGCGTGAGTCAGCGGCGGGCTCTGCCCAGCAGCACCCTGCCCCGCAGCCCCCATAACTGCTTCGTGGTCATGCAAGGCAAGGCAGGAGCCTTCACAGGGATTAACGCCTCTGACCGGCGCCACGATAACAGCGACGGGTGAACGACTCCTTTTTTTTTTAGCCGTAATTACTAAGCTCGCAGGGGGTCAACATCTGTCCCCCGACACCGAAGAGCAGGACCTGCTGCACTGGGAAGCCACCCAGGACCCCCTGTGCCTTCCCCACCCCAAGCGAACTCCTGGGGAGCAGGACCTCAGTTGCGTTCCCGCTCGGGGTGGGGTTGTGGCGTGCAGAGGAGTGGCTTCCCCCGCGCACCCAGCCAGCCCCCCCGGGCTGCCGGCATGGGAGGACTCAGCCCATGGCTATGAACGCATGGAGCCGTGCAGCCACGGCCCTCCCTTCCCTGCACCGGAACCTGTCCTGCTCACGTCCGTAAGTCTCCATTTCCTCCCTCCGATCCCCTTTTCTGTCCCTGCTGAAGAGCTCTGGCCAAGCCGGATTTGTGTGCTGGGCTCCAGATGTGCAGCACGCCCCTTCCAGATGTGGATCCCCCCTTGCCCCCCTGCTGGGAGCCAGAGCTTTATCGGTGGGCACAGGGCTGCTCCCAGAAGCCAAGATGTCATGACGGCTTCACTTCATCCAGCCCTGGCTTTGCCCCCCCCAGGCTACCCCCTCTGCCAGCCCCGGGGCTGGGTGCAGAGGCAGCCGGGAGCCACGTTTGGGCTGCGCCCCGTGAGTCACCCTGCAGCCACCCGCCCTGGCTGATGCCTCACCCTGGGGTGGTGTGACGGTGGGGATGTGGGGCAGCCCTCTGCACGCTTGGGGCCAGAGCTGAGCTGGGCCTGGAAGGACTTTGCCCCCTCCTGCCCTGCAGGCACCAGGGCGGAGAGGGAGCGATGCCCCGGGGCGGAGAGGGAGCGATGCCCCATGGAGGAGAGGGAGCGATGCCCCAGGGAGGACAGGGAGCGGTGCCCCC